TTTATTTCAATTAAAAAAACTTATGAGAAACCTATTGGACTTTATTGAAAGAGTAATTATGGACATTCCTCTTAATTATTATTTTTTTTTTTTTATAAATATTTAAAGTTCAAATGTTGACAAAATTTATGAAATTCTCCAAAATTTGCAAATTATTTTGTAGTTTAAAATTATTAAATGTTCCATTTAATTGAACATTTAAAACAAGGATTCTCATAAATAGTTCATATTGTTATTAAGAAATATAAAAAATATATTAATACCTACATTTCTTTTTTTACAGACATTTTAAGTTCAAATTTGGACGAAATTACATATTTAAACCAAGAATAACAATTTTAGATATTTTGTTATAATTTAAAAGAAAATTTTGAAGAATATTATTATATTTCATACACACAATGACATTTTTTAATAGAATTTTTTGGCAAAAATGAATTTATCCTACTGTAGTACTAGCTAATAGTTAAATAAAATACAATATATTACAATAAGTTACAATCCATAAAAAATAATATAAATATATTCATAATATTCATATATATTATAATATACATAAAAATATACAAATATATTATAAACATAATAATAATAAAATATACATATACATACAATATACCTATTGTTTTTATATTGCATTACATTAATTTGTATTCAGTATAATATGGCATCTTTTTTTGTTCCTATAGAGTGTCTTATACCGTCCTGCTACCTGTATTGCTAAGTAATAACTGTGGTTGGTGCTTTTGAAGGGGAGGTGATAACCGGAAGAATTATGCCTTGTTAGACCAACCAATTTGCCTTCATTTGTAGGCTGAAAGTCTACCTGGAACAATGAAATATTTTTTATTATTCTCTGCAGTCAACAGATGTTGTTAGCTATAAACTGTCAAAATTTGTTGATGTACATTCACAACGATTTAATTACATGACAATACAAACATGAAACAGTCAACACATCAAGGACATAACAGGGACAGATTTTTTTCTTGTGGTATTGGCATATGGGGTGAATCATTTGCACAATACTTACACCAGCGCAATGATTCAGATACCTAAGTAAATTCCTTTTTGGATACATTTTTGATATTAATGGATTCCTATTTTTATTTCTTATAGATTAACTACCTACAAAACGCAGATATTTTAAAGAAAAGTATACATAGGAGCATTCCATATTTTTTAATTTATTATTTTAATTAAATATTCAGAATATAAATGACAATTTTGCTAATTTTTAAAAGCATATTAAAATTTTTTTTTAAGATATTTTACTTTTGCTAAAGAAATGGTGTAAGTACAACCGATATTTATTGTTTTTATTTTATTTTAATAAATAATTATTAATTGTTTTACATATAGCTGAGTTTAAACAATTTACAAAAGAAATTATAAAAGGAGGTAAATGTATTGTAAAATTAAATGTAGGCATATACAAATATAGGTACAACACACATTTCTTATTGTAATTTGTGTATAATATTCTATAAATTATTTTAAATAAAAGAAATTATATTTTATATGTTGAAGTTATAATTTAAGGTTTTTTTTAGAGCATATTAGCATCATATTTTAAGCTTTAAGAACCTAAAAATCTACTCTCTACTTATAACTCATTATTTAGATACTTGTCGATTATTTGATTTTTATATACCGAAGTACTTCAAAAAGTATTCTGCTTTGGAATAAGGAACTAAAAATGTATTCTGTCATTAAACATTTTCAAAAAAGTACCAAAATATACCGTCCTAATAGTGGGCTGCCAATTATTAATTTTCCCAGGCCAGTCCAAAATTCCAATCCATCTCAGGATGTTACACATGAGAAAACTTACAGAATTCTAAGTCTTGGTTGGAATTAACACTTGAGGATCCATATGAATAGGCAGCACCATCTAACATATCAAGTGGGTCATGTGAAATTTCTGTTATCCAATGTATCTTTTTGATATCTGATTTAATATTGTTCAATTCCACTAAAAATAAGAAAATAAAGATTTATTAGAGAGTCTTGAGTTTGAGTTCTTGAGTACCTCTATGATTTCTCATAATAACAAACTAAAAAGGCCACATTAGTGGTTGAGAGTTTTCAATATGATTTATTGTTGTATTTAATTGTAGAATACTATGGATGTGTTTTGTGATGACATTTACATAAAATGTTAAAATTATGTTCTTAAAACTCGGATATTGTACCATAAACCAAAAAAATTAAATGGTTTTAATTTCCATAAAAACATCAATATCAAATATGACTAGTGCATTATAAAGAAAACTTACTATATTATGTTTAATCAATATCGAACTTATATTATCTGAGTTGCTGTATTCAAGTAATAATAAATTATTAATGTTAAATTATATTATACTAAACAAGATGTTAAACTATATACTCAGACAAATTAATTATTTGTAGTGTACATACTACAAAGTAGGCATATTATTCCAATTTCCAAGACCAAATAGTAAAATTAATATTAAATATTTAAATACCGCGGGCCACGGACGTTTCTGAATTTGATAACAGATGAATCGATATTGTGATAATGGCTGAGGTGTGCGAACGAATGGAACAATTTAATAATGCTAATAATAATTGATTATAATAAGAATAATTTCAAATTAATTTTATTAATTACAATTATTTACAATTAAATAACATTGAATCTTCGTCATTTGATTAGCTTATATTAATTCCGCGTTGTACGAGTTAATAATATAATATTATCAAGAACCAATGAAAAGCCGAGGAAGACTCCCACTCTTATACTCCTACTTGAGATAATAGAGATATAATGCGTATCACAAAATTGTGATCATAACCTGTTATTTCGTCATGTAATGTAACATGCACATGTACCGATTGTCTGATTTTTTTACTAAAATATAAATATTTCACGAAAAACTCATTTTTGATGATAAGTGGAATTATCTGATTATTGCAGCAAGCCCTTCAATTTTTCCAACTGCGACAAGCCTTTTCAGTTATTAGATAATTTGGATTGTCCATGAGTTTTTCGAATTTGAGTAAGTGGTTTTTAGTTCATTTTTTTACATACAATTTTGGAAACTAATAGAATGTAACACATATTTTAACCTTAACATGTTTTTATAATTTTATTATTGTCTTCAGAAACGACTTCAATAACAATTGTTAAGTAATGTTAAGGCACTATAAGTATGAGTATTCTCATCCGCCATTTTGGTCCCAGGCGCGCCCGGTGGTCGAGTTGTCGGGCGGGGACCGGTGGTCTGACGGTCCGCGGTCGAACTGGAACCAAAATGGCGGATGAGAATACCTACATCTATACTCTATAGTGCTCTAGTAATGTATTAACATTATAAGAAAACAATTATTATTAACTTAATAATATTATGTTTTAATATTTATGTAGGTACATGTAACATGTTAAGAACTCTTAATTCTTAAAAAGTAAAAATATGTCATATGCTCTTTAAGAACCTAGTAGAATTATGAAAGTTTTATTAAATATAACTATACAATATTCAAATTTAAATATTTGTTTTGATAAAAATTATATTTTATTCTATTGTGTTCAACCGTGTTCAACTATAAGTCATTAACCACATTTTAGCTTATTTTTTGTTTTTTTTTATTAATAAACCTGGTTTATTAGTCTAGAAGTTTTTAGTTCTTGTTTAATTTTGATTTTACTGCCTAAATTTAATTTGTCGAGTATATCTTCCATAAACTCGTTTTAAAATAAATTTAAGAGTGGAAAGATGGATTAGATAATATTATTATTAAACTATGTATGCATTATGAAGTAAAAGTAATTATAATTTGGCTAGATACTTACTCATTGGTTATTACCAGGGCTCGTAACTTCATGCACTAAAAAATGCATAAATAAGCATGCATTCATGCACTAAAAATTGTCAAAATATGCATTAAAATATGCACTTAAAAGTTCGAAAATATGCACTTATATCAATATGCCTTCACATTTTTAAATTATAAACTCAAAATATGCATTATGTAAAAAAACATGACCAAATTTTAAAGTTAGAATAAATCCATATATTTTAAAAGTATTTTATTCCTTTTTATTTTTATATATTTAACAGTCAAAATTAATAAAATAAAAAATAAAATTAATACTTGTGAAGTTCAAATAGCTTTGTCATCTTTATAAATTTTAATTAGGTAGTCATTTTTGTCTAATTTGTGTACACCCTTATTCAGCACCAACAATGAAAACATTTGGAATTAAATATTAGATTTTTCATTTTGAGATAATTTAGTAATATATATTTTATAAGTGTATTTTTTATGTTTTCCAACTTAAGAGGGCGCACTAGTAGACAAAATATGGTATAAATCCATGGTTTCGTAATTCAAGTAATACGGCTTATTGAAGTGGCTTACAGTAAAAATACCTATTATAAAAATTGTAGAGTAGAACTTTTTTTACAATCGTAAGAAGCCCGATTTTCGATATTTTTATTAATTAGCTAAATAATTAATCAATAAAAAATTTAAAAAACCGTTATAACTTACCATGCGATATTGGACGATTGGAACAAGATATCAAAAATCGGAAAAAACTTTTCAAATATTTGTCTAAAAAATATTTTTATGAAATAATATGCACTAACGACTGCAAAAAAACAACTATATGCCAAATATGACTTTACACCCAAAACATGCAAAAACATGCACTATCAAACTTCATATTATTATTACTATTGTTATGAAACGGATTTGTATCTCAGTTAGCATGTTTTCCTATGTAGCAAAAAAAACATGCAGATGCATGAACTTACGAGCCCTGGTTATTACCAAGAGCTTTTATTAAAGAAAATATGTGTTATTTAATTGGTGTAGCTGGTAGAGGGAATAGTCCCGGTTATTGTGAATAAAAAGTTACAAATATTATAAAAATGTGTATAATATTTTAGTGGATATCTAGTCTAATTTAAGAATGCAAAATTACCACAAAATTAACCATTTAACATTTTTTTTTCAGATATCACAAAATGTCTAGACCAAATATAAAGTCGGTCCTCAATAGTCATTTTCAATTTGCAAAGAAAAAACCGAATATACCTTCTAAACCATCAGATAAAGTTGATACAAAGATAAATAAACAGAAATTAATTGAAGAAAAAAGTTTCCCTATTGTTAAGATCACAGAGTCAAATCGATGTGATGTTTTAACAGAAAATAATGAAAAGGCTAAACCTATTCAAGAAAAATTGTGTGGTAATGAAATTCCTAAAAAAACTATATCAGAAACCTTTAAAACAATTATATCTTCAAATGATGATTCAAATATTATATCTAAAAAAAAGAAGTCTATTTCTAAGAAATCATCTAACGTATCAGAGGATAGTATTGGGGAGATCAAAAAACCTAAAGAGAACTATCAACTTTGGAATATTCCTCTCTCAAGCAAATTTAAAGGCAAAGAATTTGATAAAAAATTATTAACTGTGCAAGATCTAATACATTATAATCCAGTCGCCAATCCTATAATCAAAAAACCCAAAGTGGTACACAAAGAAGATGATCCAGATAATGATTTGCTGTTTAAAGATCCCGTAAGAGAATGTGTAAATTGTATATATATTAAAATGTATTTTATAAATGGTTAATGTTGAGTTAAACTGTTCAAAAGTTAGATGATTGACCATAATATGACACATTTAGCATAATAATGTTCTATCTCTGCATTATTTTTTCTTTATAATTTTATAAATAATAAATTAATAAGTAAAAACAACAACTCAATACAACTATACCCCGCGACACGAGAGAAGGAACCCCTTTTTGCGCACACAGACCGATGGCAGCAACTGTTACAAGGCTTTTTCCTTCGTGCCATTCGGTATACGTATAAGAAACGGGGCTCTTAACAATAGCTGTCGTCAGTCTGCGTGCACTTAACGGGTTCCTTCTCTCGTGGCGCTGAGTATAATTTATAACCCAATTTTAAATTTAAATTTTATGTTTTACAGGAACAAACGTCAACAGTTCAAAATAACTGCATAACTCCATGCATCAAACAAGGTATTGATGACAAAATTATAATTGATCCAGAAACATTAACTTTAAATGAGACTGGTCTTGAAGAAAAACGAGAAGAATTGGCCAAATCTAAAGTTATTGAAGAATCTGCATACCATTCTAGAAGTTATTCTTATAAACGCAAAAAAGAAGCTTCTCGAAAACAATGGTCCAAAGAAGAAACACTCAAATTTTACAAATGTTTGATGAATTTTGGTACTGACTTTTCTATGATTCAGCAATATTGTCCTAATCGAACTCGAACTCAAATCAAACAAAAATTTTTAATAGAAGAGAAAAGAAATCTTCAGCTTGTGAATTTTGCTCTAACTAATACAACACATTTTGATAGTGCTAGCATTGAATATATGCTTGAAAATGATAAAACCAAAGGAAAAGTATTTGAAAAACTTGATAAAAGTGCAGACCCAGAAGTCAGCCCTAAAAAAATTGATCGTAGGCTTCGTAAAAATGTAATACGGGTAACTTATAGAAAAATGATCATGACTTCCTATTATTTTGAAGATGAAATTGAAATAAAGAATAAAAGAAAACGTCCAACTGAAATATTCACTGCACAGAAATTAAAAAAAGCGCTAGCCAATATGCCAAGTGTAAAGAACAAGTGTAATAGGCCTTCAAGCTCTGAAATAGTTACAAATAAAGAAAGCTTAAAACAAGATTTTCATGAAGAATATGAGGAATGTATTACTGAGTATGAAGAATCAAATAGCGAATAAAAACAAAAATATTTAAAATATTGTTGATTTTGTTATATTATGTAAATTACGTTGTTCACTAAATTTGATATTGTTACAGGGCTTATTATAATACTATTTTTAATACAATAAGTTTTTTTTTTATTTTAGATTCATAGTATTCAATTTTAAATTTTAATGCTTTGGTTTGAAGTGGCATCCACTGGTTTTTGTTTACTGTAATCAGACTTCGTTATAGTGTAAAAATAATGTTATTCTCTCATTTACGTGGAAGTGCCGCATAATAATAACAATAATAACTTTAAATATTTTTACACATTCATTAGATAATTACTCTATTAAATATTATATTGTAAGGTAGTAAGTACCCATGCACACATTTTAAAATGTTAAAATAATAACTTTCTTTAAAATTTAAATGTAAAAAAACTTATTTGGGGCCCTAAATAATAATATTATGCTTTTTTGAAATCTACAAATGGGAAAATGTATGTTGAAAGCTCATGTGTTGTCTCTTATTAACTGTTATATTAACGCTTACGCATGACAAATTTAATTTAATTTCACCACATAAAAAATTGATGTATTATACATCTAAAGATATAATTATTATTTAAGCACAAGACCCCCAAAGTCTTTTTTAATATTCTAATTTTGAAGCTTATGAGCATTATAACGTAAATTTTTACCCACATTTTGTGACGAATTCCAAACATAGTATATTAAATTATACTACTGGTAGATATCTAAAAGTTTTTTTCTGCATCCATGTATTTTAATTTTCTATTAAAACAATAGTTTATTCTGTATTAATTTTAAACATCCTCCTTAATTATAATAGGCATATTAATTATTAATATATTTTTTTTCTTAGTTCTGTTTACAAACCAATCCTCACAGTTTGATCCAACTATGAAAATGCTTGTTCATTTTGTTAAAATGATCTGGAATATTGGTCTAATTTAACTAAAGAACCACTTTATTCGTAAACCTAATAATAAACTTATCGAAGTTCCTCGCTTTCAGTGAATATATACGTTTCTTGAGTTTGTTTAAACACTAAAATAAAAAGAAATTCTTTCCCGTGTATGCTGATTGTAAGTTGTAACAATAAGTGTCAGTAGCCAGTGGTGTTGGTGTGGGAGGGAGGCTGCTGTATTTACCAAATTTCAGTAATATTTAAAAATACTTTCAAACTTCAGTTTTCTTCCTTAAGATGTAATCATGTATTAAAATTGTACTTTGTATGACAGTTGATGAAAGTCTAAAGACTCATTATGGTCATTAGACACGGCATTGGTATATCGGTAATCATCTGTGTATTCAAAAATAAATAGGTATGGGACAACAACACTAGCACTTATATTTTTAAGCCCATAAATAGAAAATATTAATATTGTTATGGTCCAATAGTAGAAGGGGTCCCTTGTAAATACACCTCTGCTGCAGGTTACATAAATAATATAGTAATACTACTAGAGATAGAAACCCTACCATCATATTGTCAGTTCTCCAGACTTTTTTGGAACTCTTTTTAACATTTTTAAAGGTTCAATTTCATACTCCAAGTCACTAATACAATTATCGACTTTAATGTTTATTTTTCAAACGCTCTATTTTTTATTCTAAGTTTAGTTTAGTATAAAATTAAGACTCAGTCTCCCTACCTCTGACGATGGTTAATACCCATCCCCTTTAACAAATTAGGACATTAGTCCCCTCTGAAATTTTTTCCCACTCTAAGCACTGATTGTCAATGATTATGTAGGTACTAGGTACCTATAAGATTATTTTACTTGTTATATTGTTTAAATAATTTGAAGACTAATCAAAATGTTTAATAACTGTTTGATTTAAAAATATATATTCAATATATCTAAGTTCATAATATATTTCTGATCTGTGGTTAGAGATTTTAAACATTATTTTATTGCAGTAAGACCAACTTAGACCAACTAACGTTTTTGCTCAGTTCAAAACATATTTGTTACACTATTCAAAAATAACAAAAAAATTCTTAATAATGTCAGCGCACCTGTACCTTAAATATCTTAAAATATATCAAAATATTATGAAAATAATAATAATCATCTCTATAAAATGATGGTATTGGTAGCATAACAATAAGGATGGCACGATGGCAAAATCCAAAAAGCTACTCTTAAATATTAAGAAAAGTATAAGAAATTTAATAGAAAAATTATAAAAAACAAACAACTTTTTCACAGAAAATTTAAGTGTAGGTACCTATTTAATAAATCTAATTTAATAAATCTCTAATATTATCTGGCAATAATGAATAAATAGTTTTTTGAAATAATGATTTTTGAGTATATATTATGAATAATCAAAGAACAATTATTACACATTCAATATTAAATTATTTTTATTCCAACTAGCGGTTTCAAACTGTACTCAATGGTGCCCTACTAGTATCAAACAGCTATACGAAAAAATCATTATTTACAATTATTTTTTATTAATTACAATTTGAAATTTATAAAAATAATTTGTTGCAAACTCTGTTATAAGCACTTGCTATATTATTAGCCATAAAACACATAAACAAAAATATTTTATTTTAAGCAACTCGTTAAGCGCGATAACTAGTATAAAAAATAAATTTAATCCTAGTGATCTAGCAACCCAAATTCAAAATAAACTAGTAGAAGCAAACCAAAAGAACAACAATATAATTATAATTTGGATACCTGGTCACATAGGAATAATAGGTAAAGAAAAGGCAGATAAACAAGCAAAATTAGCTATCGGATCAATGAACTCACAGTTTATCAACATTGCTTCTTATTCTGATGTAAGAAAACAAATACGACAAGACACCATTCTATTGTGGCAAAAAGTATGGAACACACAAAACAACAAATTAAACAAACGGTCAAAAGATGGAGAAGAAACCCTAATATCTGCACCTCAGATGAAAAAAAACTAAATCGGGCCAGAATTAGTCACACGAGACTGACTCATGAATATTTAATGAATAAAGGTGACCCACCTTTATGCCAATCATGCGGGACCACAATTACAATCAAACACATCTTTGAAGAATGTAGAATGTACGAAAAACAAAGAGAGGATCTCAATATAAGCCATCAAATTGGAACTAGTCTAGGTCCAAATCCAGATAACGAAATCGACACCATTAAATTTTTTTAGCAATTAAAATACTTAATTTACTTTAGTCAACACTTACAATGTACTAAATACCAAATAACTAATTCATAACTGTCTTATCTTATTTGTTTATTTATTTTATTTTATTGTCTTTTTTTTTTTCTCTCTACTTTCCATATTACAAATGTATGTAATTATGTTTATAATGCTATGCTAATGACCTAGCTGTTGAAGCAGAAATTGTAAATTTCAGGAACAATAAAAAAAAAAAAAAAAACATTGATTGGGCATTAAATATAAATTTTAAATTAATTCAATTTACCAGAAAACACAGAATGTTCAGTGTCAGGAGCTAATACTACATTTGCCTGGATTTTAGTATGCCTTTCTAATTGATTGCTCTGACTGTTCTTAACCTGCGAGCAACATTTTTCCAGCGCCCAATCAGTTTCCCTTTTGCGTGGGTTTGCTTTTGTCCTTCTGACTATGCTGGTATAAAATATACACTCTAGAAATGCAAGATAATTTAATATTATAATTTATAGTATTGATAAACATTATTAAATCTATACTATTTGTTCTTTGGGGAAATTTCAACAATCAGCTCTGCTATTTTTCTAAAGTAAAAGTCAGTACCTCTAAAAAAAATTTCAAAATTACTAACACGAAGTATATGAATAATTACGCTTACGCACTATGCATTATTTAGTTACATCGTTAGCAGTGTTTTCACTAGTTCAATTTGTAGTAAAAATTAGAATTCTTTATATATTAATTATGTTTCAAAATTGTTTTTAAACTTAGGTTGAACATCCTACTCATACCTGCTTAGATCTTGTAATAGATGGTTGATTACGAGTTTTGTTAGTAAATTTTGAGAATCGTCAGACAAAAAACCATCATTCTTTTTATAATCTGCAAAAATGTACCTCCCTGGTTTGTAGTATGCAGAAGTTGTAATAGAGTCTAATGAAAATTAAGAAATACCTATATATTTTAAAGGTGAACATAAAATAACTGTTCATAACTATTATACTTCTGTTGTCCAAGATCCAAACTTTGTATGCAAATTAGCTGTTAAACATATAGATTTGTCTCCTGTAAGAGGCTCTTGTGATTCCTTATAAAACTCTTGAATAACATTAGATTGTAACAACGAATTATCTAACTGATTTAACTGATCTAAATTTTGAATTTCTCCAGCAGCTAAAGATCCTGACGGATAATATGGAAACTGAGACAATAAAAACAAAATTAGGCACATTATCTTTGTAGTCTTTTTGTTTAATTGATTTATACTTTATGTAAAAGGCATAATTTAAAGGAAGTAGAAAATTGCATATTTTTTTATGGTGTAATACTAAAAATAATTGATATTGAGATATTAGCTACTTTATTAATTTAAAAAATAAACACAAGTAATTTGAAGCTGTACTGCTGAAGCCTGTAGGTATCTGGTATATTATGAAAATTGGATTAAAATGTAAATAACTAAATAATAGCCAATAAGTACCTATATATTATGTATAACATGAGTTTACATGAAATATCACGTATTATAGTTATCTAGTTATCATCACATTGTGATTATGTACCTAATATGCATGAAATAATCGAATAAATTACATAATTTAATAATTAACTTATAATAATTTAATATTTTAATAATTACCTGATACTGATTCATTTTTCGTCCATTTTCAAACACTTCAAAAGTTCAAACTTCGTAAAGTTATGGGCTATGGCTACCCAACACCCAGTACCCACCCACCCACCACATAACTCACTATGGCAGTCGCCAAACTTGGGTGTAGGGATCGGCACCACTGCTCAGTATATCACTAATCTAATAATAATTACCTACTCATTGGAATCTTGAGTTTGAGTTC